AGTGACAGGCGATCTGATCAATCAGAACGCAGATATTATGTGCCGCTGCTGCTATCCGTCATCTTGTCCAACATCTACAGCTGGTCTCCATAGAAATCCATGTTAACACAGGGTAAAAAACATTGACTGAATTGAAACTTTTTCAATATAACTAAATATAAAAACGTGTGCGGAGGGTTAAGCTGTGCTGTTGTTGGCTGCCACAGTAACAGCAATACGCTAAGGAATTCCTTTAAAGTACTTGTTTTGCGTACCAGAAAATCTGTCCGTGTCTGACGCTGTATGCATGGCTTGCAGCGCTTAAGTTAAAATAATGATGAAAAATAATAAAATATGTTAAAATAATGTGTGCTCTTATCATCTGTGGACAAAATCCTGTGAACTTCGCCCTGATCAGGAACTGAACTGAGGCGCTACAGTGATCTGTCACGACACAGTAAAGAGCTAAACAAGAAACAAAACGGTATTGTTTGAATTTCTTTAAAAAATGACAAAATTTGAAAGCTGAGAGAGTCCTGAGACCTTGTTTCATACCAGAAGTAACCTGCTCTGTCTTGTCTGTTGGCATGTTATCAGTTTCCTCTTCGCTCTGTGATGTGTTTTTCACTGCGTAAGAACATGTGTATTTTTTAGTGATTAAAGATGGCGGCGCGTTCACACGCTGCGGCTTCTCTCTCTCCCGACAGAAAGGTGTTTTCGTGTTTTTTGTCTTGTGAGTCGCAGTGTTTTTGTACGTATTCGTCGCGTCTATCTGTCAGTGAAGAAAAATAAGAAAGCACAATAATAAAATGTTTTGACAGTTATTTGGGGAGGAACTCCCATCTTTTATTTGATCAGAATTTTAGCTGAATCTTGAATACTTACTGTGATAGTTTTTTGTATGTCTGTGTAGAGCAGATGAACGATTGAAACGCTTCCCACATGAAGTGCAGTGATACGGTTTCTCACCAGTGTGGATCCTCTCATGTCTTTTCAAATTTGATGAATGACTGAATCTCTTGTTGCAGTGTGAACACTTGTAGGGTTTCTCTCCAGTGTGGATCCTCTCATGCTGTTTTAAACACTTCACTGAAGTAAAAGTCTTTTCACACTGAAAGCACACGAACTCTCTCACAGCAGTATGTATTTTCTGATGTTCTTTCAATGTTGAAAAACGTGAAAAACTCTTTCCACACAAAGAACATGAATGTGGCTTCTCCTTTGTATGAACTCTTAGGTGCTTCTTCAGGTCTGAAGCCCACAAAAATGTTTTGCCACATTGATCACATGTGTACGGTTTCTCTCCAGTATGAACTCTCATGTGAAGCTCAAGACTATATTTGCTAATCAAACTCTTTCCACATTGATCACATGTGTACGGTTTCTCTCCAGTATGAACTCTCATGTGAAGCTCAAGACTATATTTGCTAATCAAACTCTTTCCACATTGATCACATGTGTACAGTTTCTCTCCTGTATGAATTCTCATATGTGTCATTAGGATTCCTTTCCGTGCAAAATTCTTCCCGCACTGATCACAAGTGTACGGTTTCTCTCCAGTATGAACTCTCATGTGACGCTCAAGACTATATTTGCATTTTAAACTCTTTCCACATTGATTACATGTGTACAGTTTCTCTCCTGTGTGAATTCTCGTATGTGCCATAAGGATTCTTTTCCGTGCAAAATTCTTCCCGCACCGATCACATGTGTACGGTTTCTCTCCAGTGTGGATCCTCTCATGTGTTTTCAGATGTGTTGACTGACTGAATCTCTTGTCACAGTATGAACACTTGTAAGGTTTCTCTCCAGTGTGGATCCTCTCATGTGTTTTCAGATGTGTTGACTGACTGAATCTCTTGTCACAGTATGAACACTTGTAAGGTTTCTCTCCAGTGTGGATCCTCTCATGTGTTTTCAGATGTGTTGACTGACTGAATCTCTTGTCACAGTATGAACACTTGTAAGGTTTCTCTCCAGTGTGGATCCTCTCATGTGTTTTCAGATGTGTTGACTGACTGAATCTCTTGTCACAGTGTGAACACTTGTAAGGTTTCCCACCAGTGTGGATATTCATGTGTTCGTTAAGGTTTGCTAAGTATGCAAAACTCTTTCCACATTGATTACATATTAATGGCTTCTCTCCTTTATGAGTTCTCATATGTGTCATAAAGTGTCCTTTTTGTGTGAAACTCTTCCCGCACTGATCACATGTGTACGGTTTCTCTCCAGTGTGGTCTACCTTGTGTTTCTTCAGATGAGTTGACTGACTGAATCTCTTGTCACAGTATGAACACTTGTAAGGTTTCTCTCCAGTGTGGATGTTCATGTGTTTCTTTAGGCTTAATGATTGTGTGAAACTCTTCCCGCACTGATCACAAGTAAACGGTTTCTCTCCAGTGTGAACTCTCATGTGAACATCAAGACTATATTTGTTTGTCAAACTCTTTCCACACTGAGTGCAGGTGAAAGATTTCTTGGCTCCTCTTTTCTTTAAATCTTTATGTTTGGTTTGAGAGCAACTCAAAGGTTTTTCTCCAGTTTTGACATGATGTTTCTCCTCATCTTTCCTCAATTTTTCGTTCTCATCACTTTCTTCAATAAACTCTAAAATAAAAGCAAAAACAGTTCATTTGTCAGAAACTTGAAAAACAACCAAACAAACAAACAAACAAACAAAAAAACAGAAAGGTGAAAGTACATAAAAGTCAACCCTGGTGTAACAGACAATTTCTATTCAAAATTGTGTTCCTTTTGATGCAATTTTATAAATTTTACCTCCCTGAAACTTTTCATGAATGAGGTACATTGATCTTCAAAATATAATGTTTAAAACATTATAGACAAATCACATGTCTCTATAAAGAGAACTATTAAATATGTTTGATCAACTACACAATTATCTAACGTACATTTTGTTGAAAAAAGTGTTCCTTATTATTTGCTGATCCATCTATATTATTCAACCGCTCTAAAGATTGTTTCTGTTACAACAAAACTAAATCTAAAACTGCAGCAGATGTGTTCTTGCTCTGCCCCTTTTATCAAGGCTGCATCTATATATATGCATATATATTAATTTAATCGTAGTACAGCACTGACTTTGTAGCAAACGTTTGACTGAATTGTTTGCTTTTGTCTTTATTTCCTATTACACAAGTCTCTTATACGTCATACTTATACTTTTATAATGGCTATTATTGTTCATTAAAACTGATAGGCTATTTAACAAAAAAGGTAGAGTTGTGCTTTATGTAATATTTCATTTTATTATTCATACAGTGAAGATAATCAGAGTATTTGTGGACATATTGCCTAAACCACGTGTTAATAGGTTTTATATTTTTAACATTAAAACGAAAAGAGGGTTGTGTTTTATAATTTGTTTTGTTACGGATACACACAGTGAAGAAAACGAAGAGGCAGTGGTGTTTGATGTCATTTCGTTTTATTGTAATGTGTGTATGCGTTGCATGAACCACAAGTTTGTGGCTATTAATGTGTTTAAATGAAACAGAAAAGAGGCAGTGGTGTTTGATATCATATTTTGTTTCATTGTAATGTATATACATTCCCTGAACTACATTTCTGCAGCTATTACTATGATTAAATGAAAACGAAAAGAGGCAGTGGTTTAATATCATATTTCGACTTACTGTAAATATACATATAATGAGGAGAAGCCAAGGCGAGCTGACTGACGTTATCAAGTACGCTGCTGTTCCATTTGCAGAATTACTGGACTTCCGTCCTCCCATCCGTTCCCGTTCACACTCCCCAGTCGAACTTGCAAAGTCCAAACTACCAAGCATGCAAGTCCGAACTTTGCGTACTTAGTATTGAAAAATGGCTAAAGTCCCTTTGAGACAAGTAATTTCACTCGGCGGCCATCTTTAAAACGCCTCCCGGGAATGCAAGTGCAGCTCCTATCTCTTTGAACGAGGAAACATCAAATTCTCCAAAACTGTTCACCAAGCTTACAATTAAATGTCATATTTGAAATCACCAATGGAATCTTACAACAACTGCCTCATAATTGTTGTTTCTTATGCTGAAATAGCGATAAAAGGGCTTATTTTTCAGGCTAGAGCAGCCAATGCACATGCGCAGTCATGAGCGCGAGTTTGCGAACGCTGCCTATTTCTATAGGAACCGGAGCTTCTAACAACAGCTGTGCAGTGACGTGATGACTTTACTAATCAATGATTAGCTCTTTCATTTAGTAGGCGGGGCTTATTCGCCATATTGGGTGTTGTACTTTCTCCCATTCATATGTATTAGGAGTGCACAGTCTAGTCTTTGCTCTAAAGCGCCTCCTGCTGGCAGAGAATGAGTCTGTCTTAGAGGTCTGCTACCCGACCTGAGCCCGACGGGTCCCGAAATACTTTCGGGTTTCGGGTCGGGTTCGGGTTAATGTTTAATGAATAGCTTTGGGTTCGGGTCAGGCTCGGGTTTATAGCTAAACTACAACTATATGCAGTAGCCTAGGCTACGCTGCTTTCATAGACGCACGCACACACATTATAGCACACGACAACACAGCACGGAAGCTTTTATTAGTAAAATAGCTTCGACAGGCTACTGACTTGCAATCGTGAAATACAGCATTTTTTTTTTTTATTGGCTATTCGTTGTGGGAAAAAAAAAAAAGATTTCGGGTTCGGGTCGGGTTTGGGCTCTAAATTGAACTGTGCCGCTCGGGTCGGGTCGGGCTGGGTCAGACGATCTCGGGTACGGGTCGGGTTTGGGCTTCAGTTTAAAGCCTGTGCAGACCTCTAGTCTGTCTACAGCAACATGTTTTGTTGTTGCTCACTCTTTTTTTTTTTCTGTTTTCTGCCACAACTCTGAGCACTTTTCATATACTTTGTTCTGGCTGAAGCACTTTTGTTTCAATCTATAAGAATAATCAGCCTGCTATAGTTTAAGTTAAATATATTAATATTAATAAGGTGAGACTGAGAGTCTTATGTTTATTTGACTGTGATTTCACATTTCTCATTTGTATGAAGGCTAAATACAAATAAAAGGTGACCATTCATTTATTTTTGCCATTTGTTTTCTAAAATATTATATAGTTTTATAGGAGGTTTTATAGACTTGGCAAATTCCTTTTTCATAAGTTGTGGGTACAGACATATGTTGTGGGCGTTCTTGGCAATTTTTCTGAGGATTTTTTTTTTTATTATTATTGTTTATATTGTGTCGGCAGAAATTAAGAAATATATTGTGATTGAAATTTTGGCCAAATTGTCCAGCCCTATTTTAAATAGTCTTAGACTTAGGCCATTTCTCAAACGGAAGGCTGCATTCTCTGGAGGTCGTATTTGTAGGCTGCATACATTATAATGAAGATCTTTGTCAAGACAAACTTTATGTTGGCTTGAGAAAGCCTAGCCTGAAAGTTTAAAGCAGTTGTAAAAGCCTGAAGTTTGAAAATGTAGATAGATTACATAGATGTTGATAACATGTTTCTAGCATGATTAGCATGTTTTTAGCGTAATTAGCCTGTCACTAGCATATTGCTGGCATGATTAGCAATTTGCAAGTATGTCGCTAGCATGTTTCTAAATTGATTAGCATGTTACTAGAATGTTGCTATCAAGATTAGCAAGTGATTGGCATGCTGCTAGCATGACTAGCAAGTAACTAGCATGTTATTAGCATGATTAGCAAGTTACTAGCATGACGCTACCATGATTAACAAGTTACTAACATTTGCTAGTATGTTTCTAGCATGATTAACATGCTACTAGCATGTTGCTAGCATGATTAGCAAGTGACTAACATGTCGCTACCATTTTTCTAGCATGATTAGCATGTTACTAGCATGTCGCTAGCATGATTAGCATGCTACTAGCATGTTTGGTAGCACGATTAGCAAGTTACTAGCATTTCGCTAACATGTTTTTAGCATGATTAGCATGTTGTTAGCATGATTAGCAAGTTACTAGCATGTATGTATGTATATGTGTATATATGTATACATGTATGTATATATGGGTGATACTCACGAAACCATTAAAACACCACGGCACTAATGATTTTAAATATAAAACATGTAATTTAGTAATATAAAAAAGCATCAGAATAAAGACAATACTGTTCTCTACCTTGCACAATGTGTAATTTCAACTTGAGAATTAATTATTTTTCTATTTTACTGCATTTTCTGCTGAAATTCTCATTACCGCAATGCGTCCGGCTGTGTTCAAATGCGTTATGTTGTAATTAAAACAAATTAACATAAAAATATTTAGAAAAAAAATAAATGGATGTTCTACTTGATTATTTTAGATGACAGAAAAAATAATTCACTGAATATTCATGTATAATAATAATTAAAAAAAGTAGGAAAATTATGTGTCCATGCCTGACGTTCTCCATCCTCCGCAACATTTTTTAAGGACTGTTTAAACTTTAAACACACATACAGAATTTAAATAAAGTTTGATTTTGAGTGAAGAAGCACATGGGCCAGTTACTTCAAGATGGCTACCAGGTAAGATAATCTCTTTATATCTCTCCAGCTAAATATTAAATATTCTATTGTCAGAATGTTAACACGATATTTTGATTATCATTACCGAAACAGGAAGTTTTCTACATTTCGAAAATTGTTAGGTTTACAATTTTTTTTATGAAAATGTACTTTATTAAGGTCTAATAATATGCACTGAGAAAAAATTAGCAAAGCCATTATGGCTTCTCTATTGTTAGCAAAACATACTGAGGCACCTCATCCTCCGCAACACCATTCTCATATACCACAACCATTTAAGGCCAGTTGCGGTAAAGATAACTTATGTTTCGGGAATGAGAATCTAAGCATATTGTGTATGACTTCTAAATATGTCTTATGAATTTAATATTAATTAAAAATGTACTAACTGTTGATATTTTGATTTATGATTTGTTCCATTGTAGACAGTCATCAAGTGAGAAAAAAAAGCTTTAGCAAAGGCCAGGTTGACAAAGTTCAGGGAAAAATTATACAGCAACCCATAACTGCTCGAGGAGTACAGAAGGAAGGAGAGAGAGAGGTTAGCTTTGGAGATGTTACAGCACGTGTAATTAGCAAAAAACACTCTACAGTGTTAGGAAATGTACATGAGAGTATTTGTTCTTCTGTTTGTAATTTGTTTGTTTTTTATTATCTTGTTTACTTAATTTTTCAATTAATTTCAAAGACTAAAATTAAGCTCTACCCCACCACACAACTTCAGTGAATCTACTTAAGAAAAGCGAGTAAACATAACTGAGAAAAAAAACACTATCAAAACTGAGGGAAAAGTTGCGCTACATGGAAGAGAAGCTTCTGGGCAGGACTACAGAGACTTTAAACCTAAGGAAAATACTGAGAAGACTTAAGAAGAGGGAGAGAAAGCTGGGACTTGTGAACATGGAAGGCAGAGAGGTTCAACAAAAATCTAGAAAGAGAGGTCA